CCCAGGATTAGTGAAGTTTGAGGCATAATTTAGATCTAAAAGCCTTTGGGCCTCTGGTAGTGAACAAGGAAGCATTGTAAATTTCAGTGAAGAATATCAATCAATGAAAACTAATCAACTTGCTGACAATATTTTGTGGTTGTTAAAATGTTACTGACTAAAGCAACAGTTTTTAATGAGTATAACGCAAAGCTATCAGAAAGAAATATAATCTTCTTCCTATATAGATATCTGATCATTTAAAAATTATCTTTTCTATTCAAAGTTTCAAATTTTCACAGTCATAAGAAAAAAATGAGTCCAATTCCAGAACTTATTTTTCTTAACGAATTTTTCATGAACATTTCACATGTGATTTCATCACCTTTATTCCTTACTTTATGGTCAAATGATTACTTTAGTGAATAATACAGTGACTAGTGGATTTTTCAATGCTGAGGATATAATATATTTATGAACTTCACTATTTCTGTGACTATCACAATCTTAAAATGGCCTTGTCATGACCCTTTGTGGTTTCAAACATGGGGAACAGGGGTTGCCAGTGGGTTAACACAGTGTCTCTTGGATCATTGTAGGTAAGCCCCCAGGAAGTGCAGCAGCTGAGGTTGCTCTGGCCACTTTTTGAGCCTGAGTACCTGACTCCCCTTAGTTCTCACAGTGGGAGTGTTGTTGACTGAGTGGAAAAGGGAATAACCCTTTACTATACAAGTACATTAGTATTACCTTTTCTCACTTACATGAAGAATGAAGAATAATTTTATCTTGAGAAACCCACCAAATTACCTTTCTAATTATTGTAATAACTCCAACCAAATTTAAGGGGGGAGTCTATATATCTTTCATAAAATTAGTTTTATATCAAGAAAAGTGAATCAAGTTGCTTATTGAAACTGGAAATGTTGGAAGACTAATCAGGATATCTATCTATGTACATCACGATACTGCTCCTCTTAGCTGTTAAACAGACACTTCACTCACCAATCCAAATTAGCTAATCCTCCAACAATTCCAGAGTAACCCAGACAGTATTAATCTTGAAGCTGATGGGATTAACAGTTCTGCCAAAATCATTCCTTTTCTATTATTTACTGTGAATTATCAGTGACTAGATCTTTTGCTTAGGACTAAACTCTCAGACATACTTTCCATCACACAGAGAGGTTTACCCATCCTATTATTAAAAAATATTCTGGACTATCTAAGTAAATAAAAATCCACAAAAAGGAGAATGAATTTTTTAAAACTAATTAAAATTTTTATCTCCTTTATATTTTCAATTTTAGATATTTCCTTCAAAACTATGCCTAAGATAAGTTTTGTGTGTGTGTGTGTGTTTAATGATTCCTGAAGTCAGAGAAAGAAGTTTGTGTAACTAACTTGATTCATTTATGTAATTTCAGGGTAGAGATATTGGGATTGAACCCAGTGCTTCTCTATCACTAAGCTCCATCCCCAGACCTTTTCCTTTTTATTTTTATTTATTTTTTTAATTTTGTGGCAAGGTCTTTATACCTTGTCCAATCTGACGTCAAACTTGAGGTCCTCTTGCCTCCGCCTCGCTAACTGCTGGGATTGTAGGTGTGTGCCTTCACACCCAGCTTTGTTCATGTTATTTCTGCCAATTTATCATCTGTCTAGATTGATATTATATCTTTACATCATAGCATGAATAGGTTAATATTTTGGTTAAGAAATCTATCCTTTTAAAAATTAGATTGAGCTAAGCTTCTGTGGAACTAGACATTAATAGCTTTTTTGTGTGTAAGCTTTGGAATATTCTATAAAATTAATGTTAATATGTGCCTAATTATCATCAGTCTATGCAGAGGCTCCTGAAAATTCTGATCTTTATTCTAATATTGAATTTTAAGGTCAATTGTATGACAGTATCTAATAAAACTTTAGATGTTAGTTAGAATAATATATTTTACCAAGGAAAATATGATTTTGAAATAAAAAAGTCTTATTGTCTTGAAAATTACATATACATGATATTTTGTTTGATCTTCAATAAATCAACATTCATAAATTATAAGGTCACCTGTAAATTCCTGTTAGTATCTACCAAGAACATTTTAAGACTTTTGTTTCTGTATTTTGATAAAAACTTAAAATATTGCAGTGAAACATTTCAGTTATTCAACCAGAAGGATATTTGTTTGACTGGATATTCATTGGTAAACCAAAGTGAAAATTATTCAGCTTTACAACCTAGTTCTGTAGATCTGCTATGTAAAATATAGATAAATGAATCAAAGGTACATAGCTTTGCCATTCCCAATGTTAGCATCAGTTTAACTTGGATTTGATGGAGATAAATTGTAAAACGAAATTCTTTAAGCTAATAAAATATCTGACAAAAAATGATGGAACTCTCTGACCTAGGTAATTTCTATTGATATTCTCTTTTAAACCATTTCTGTTATCTTATTTTTACTGGAGGAGAAAGTAATGAATACATATATTTGTCCAGTAGCATGAATTTCTATATGAATATGTAATTGAAATCCTTACAGCTAATAAAACAAATTAAATATGTTATTAATTATTACACAGATTAAATCATTGGGAAAATGTTTTTAAACTTAAAGTCTAATATAGTATATTAAACTCTGGTATACTAGAATCTTACAAGTAAGTGGTCTAAATCTAAAACACTCATTTCATATCAATAAGCAGCTTCCATTTCAGTATATGAGGCTATACTACCACTTTTTCTAGTGAACAGGAAGGCACAAATGGTAAGGGGAGCCCAATTCCAGTCCTGTAATTGACAAAACCTAGAAATGTCACAATTCACTTTTGCTCCCATTCCAGTGAAGATTATTACTACTACAACACACGGCTGCAGCTTATTCTAAGGGAATCTCAAATTAGCAGTATTTGTGATTGGGTGGAGCAACTGACTGCGCCCCACAATTGTCTACAGAAATTACTGAGATGCACCCTGATCTCTCTTTATTTTCATATATCCCATTAAAGGTAAAACATGACACATCAGCAGTGAGTGTTCAGCTTTTGAAATCTTTTAAATCATCTATACCTTGATACAATTTTGTAAAAAAAATTTTTGCATGTTTTCCAATGTTAACCTCTGTACTTGTCTTTACTTAACACTGTACTATGTGATTTGATGTTGAAAGAATTATTCCATAACAGATGGACTATATTGATGCAGTTGGAACACATATACTAAAATAAATACTGTGTTGTTTTATAACTTTTAGCTATTGAAATATAGATATTTACTACAAGCATTTCTACATTGGTACTTTTTATAAGTGTTGATTATAATCACTTCTCAGAAATTCTTCTCTGTCTTTTGCATATCCGTGGCATTCTTTAAATGCCTGTTTTGAGTACATTTCTTGAATTAAAACTCTCTTTTGAGTGTTGTAGTTCAGCATTATCCAATAGAACTTCCTGTGATGATGGAAACGTTCTAGAACTGAACCATCCAGTATTGTACCTACTAGCTATGTGAAGGTTTTGAGCACTTACTATGTGACTAATGTGGGTGAAGAACTAAATTTTAAACTTTATTACTTTTAAATGAATTTGAAGTTTAAATAGCCATTTGTGGGCTAGTAATTACCATATTGGATCTACAGTTCTAGTTACTCCCTGCTCCATCTACAAATTTATTTCAGCCACATCTCTTTTACCACATCATATTACTCCTGAAACATCCTCAAATGAACTTAAGAACTCAATTTGTATAGCCCTGGTGTTTTATTCTTTGGGTGAATAATTTTGTATTTTCAGTCTGTCTACTAGCTTTAACAGTCTAGTAATAATAACTATATAATATTTATTTATTGGATGCATTATGTATTAGGCACTGTTCTGAGCACTTAATAAATCATTTCTTTGTCCCGAGAAATTTACATTGTAATAAAAATAACTTAGATTATGCTTAGATTATAATTACTACCATTCTATATATATATACTCGGGCACAAACACAGGTTAATTATTATTATTTTTTTTAAGATCTAAATAGCTAGTAAGTGACTGAACAAGGATGTAAACCTCAGGCAAAGTGACTTCAAATTTCAAATTCTCACTTCATTCTTTACTGTTTCATCAGGAGAGTGAGTTTTTATCAGTGGTTCTCTTTATTCAAAATACATCACAGACAGGGCCCCTGTGAGAGTATTTTTTTTTCTTTACGCATAATACAGGAAAATACATTGCCTCTGGCAAGAGGGAAGAAAAAAGTACAGATGGTTTCTCTTCCTTTTTTGTTCTATCAATTTTCTGAGAGAAATTTTGTTTGTAAAAAGATGATCCAAAATGTTCCCTAATTTATCTTAACTCATTGGGCACTAGGGTTTTATTTTATCAGAATGAGATTAAAAAATTAGTAAGTGTAAGTGACAAAAAACAGGTGCTGCACGTTTGCCTCTATTACTATAAAAGACTATTCAGTTTCTTTTCTCAGTAAACTCTAAGAATTTTAAAGTAATCAAGATTGATTATTTTCAAAGAGCTATAACATTCAGCTTTAACTCAGGTTAATCATCTGTAAGTTAAAATTACTTAGAAGCATAGTGTCCATAATTAAGTAATCTTACCTTCTAATATTACAGAATAAGGATACCTCTAGGTGACATGAAATCTGTCATTTTAAGCATGCCCCCCAGCCTTTTCCAGATTGCTCATAAAATTTCTCATTCTCTAGAGAAATGTGATCTCTAAGAAATAAATGTCTCTGTCAAGTCACAAGTAATATGAGCACATGATGAAAAAAATGAAATTTTTGAGTCTCATAAGGGATATTGCAGTATTGTAAAATTGATTTTATTCCTTGTTATTTAAGTTCTCATGGTCATTTTAGGATTTTCCTCTGGATATAAAGGGAAGGTTATAATACCTTCTAGGGAGGTGGGGATCAGAGGCCTTTGGGGAGAAGGAGAATATTTTTTTCATATGAAATTCTTTGTCATAAAATGCTAATGTTGGTGTTCTTGTCTTTATGTCTATGCATTCTTTAGCTATGAGGATAACAGACCCTTCATCAAGTAAGAATGACCTGAATGGCTGATAAATTCCATTTATCAGTGTGGTCCCATGAACCAGCTGTCAGATCAGTACTGAAAAATCACTAGAGCTTCTGTCATTCACATTGAGGCAGAAGAGCAAACTGTGCAGGAAAATACTCTGGCAAACAACTTATGTGCAGAATAAGTACCCTGCAGGTGTATTGCCAAAAAAATAAATAAATCATTGCTCCACCTCTGTTAATTGGATATCACTTGAATTCAGTACCACAGTAATAGCATTTCCTGTGGGACAGACTTGTTTCACTTTGAATAGCTTTCTCTTACATTATGATATGTTCCTCTGTGCTGCATATGTCTGCATTTCCGTTGTCTGTTTGGGCATCATTCATATGAAATTACTTTTTTATAGTATATCTTCAAAATGATCTTATGGGTATGAAATTACCCATTGACTATTGCTTTCAATGATTTGCTATATTAAATTTTCAAAAAGGAAAAAAAATGTCTCCCACAAAAGTTAAATTTTACATATCCAAAATTATCCCTTTCAAATTTGACACCTGTCACTTGATTATTAATTTCATTGTTTATGAATATATTATATTTAAGTTTCTGAAACACAGCTACAAGTCTGTAGTGGTCTATTAAATATAGGTATATATGTTAATTTGGGGACATTTTTCATATATGTTTTAAAATGACATGTCCTGCAAGAATAAACTACGATTTGGCAATCTATGGGCAACCTTGCTATAGACTTTCAGTTTGTTCTTCTGGTGAAGAGTCCTTTGTTTTCATTTTTCCCAATGCCATTTCACTTAATTCTTCATGCTTTTGCTTATTTTTTGCTTTTGAAGTTGGAGATCATTGCAGTTTTACATCATATAACCCTTGGCCCCATCACACGTTTTCTAGTGGATAATAGCTGACTTGAGTATTTTTTCTTATCATCCTATTTCTAAATCTGAATAGCAACTTTGCCTTGATTTAATGGCAGTTCTTTCCATTTTTCCTTTTTCCCATGTCTGTAGAAAGCTGAGGGCTTTTCCTTCAATGTTCCCGTATTTGTGAAGTCAGTTGTAGAGTAAAATATTAACATCTAAGATGTTTCCTATTTAATGTAAGAAAATAGACCACATGTAATAAAAAAACTTCCTATAGGGATTCTTAATTTAAAAGTGTTAATGTCTAACATTAAATATGTTCAGTTTAGAGGGCTCTTAAATCTGAAATAGAGTGACTGATTGATGTGGGAGAAAAATAGTAAATACTTACTATCCTTTTTTAATATGACTTTGGGACCATGTAACTCTTTCTAAAAATAAAACTTGGAACTCAAAATTATGGTAAAAGATATGCAGATTTTCCACTTCTCTTTGCAAAGTTCCCATCCTCATAAATATTTCTTCCTTAGACAATGTCAATGGAGGATTATAGTCTGCTGAAAAGAAACTTTAGTTTGCTCTGTTTAAGGAAGGCATGCTGGGAAAGAAAATGATGGGTTTATGAGTGCATAGCAATCTTGATTCCTTTGGTCCTGTTCTCCCATATGCTTAGAAGTTGAGAAGGATTCCATTTCCAGTTACTGGAGTCCCATCTATTAGAATAATTCATTTTATGTTAATAATAAATATATAGCCTACCACAAGTACATGAACTTACTCACCCACTTATTACTATTAAAATGGCAGCTTGGAAGAAACTAAGAGAATGGAATGAGAGTGAGAATTTGTCTTCCATGATCTACGACTCTTTTCATACCACTCCATCCCCATTCTCAGCTTCATCCTCTCCCTTGAGTTTACAGATACTTCCAAAAATGAAGATTCCCTGAGCCTTTAAGCTTCTTTTCAACAAAACTGCAAAATATCTTACTGAAAAAAAATTTAGTCCAACATAACCTAGAAGATAGTAATCCAAAGACTCAATGAAAGTAAAGCTAGGGTGACTCCAGTAGAGTGGAACTGTTTTATTCCCATCCACTATATTTTACACTTATTCTGCATAGGTATAGAATTAAAAAAAGAAAGAAAAGGTCTTTTTCAGTTCATATGTGTACTCTGAAAACTGGCTCCTTCTAATATGAATTATGTTTTTGTCAGTCAACATAAAGTTTTTATGGAAAAAGAGGAAATTTGGAAAAATAGGGTAAAATTATTTCAGATGAAGCAATAACAGAGGGAGTTCAATCAAACAAATGTTATGCCAATGAGACCAGTGGAGACTAATATAACTTTACAGAATTCTCCCCCTTGCCATTCACCATAATTACATCTCCATACCATTTGCATATGTGCTGCAAATACATGAATAATTTATGGAACAAATCTGCTTTTGCTTAAATGAATTTCTGTGTTCATAACATTTTCATTCACATATATTTCCTCAATCTTGATAACTTGTAGCCCCATTAAAATCTAAAGTACTTATACCACCTGTCTTACATTTTCTGTCAATAAAACTTACCATAACATTTTTTTCAGTGTCAGTATTTTTGATATGATATGGTTGTGTTAAAGATCAATTATTTGTTAATTCTAAATTTTCCTTTCTCTTTGCAGGTCATGGGTTATAGGTGCAATAGCTCTTCTCTGCCTGTTAGGATTGACCTGGGCCTTTGGACTCATGTATATTAATGAAAGCACAGTCATCATGGCGTATCTCTTCACCATTTTCAATTCTCTACAGGGAATGTTTATATTCATTTTCCATTGTGTCCTACAGAAGAAGGTAAGCTAGAATTCTTTTTTTATTTAAACAATAAATGACATACATTAAATGATAGCAAAGCAACCCTAACATAATCTATTATTCTTGATATGTCTGTCTGTAGTAAGTAAACATTTCTTCATCTTTTATATTAGTAAAAAATAAAACAAATACAACATAAAACCATGATAGAGTTGGTGAGAGTGTTCAAGTAAAAAAAAAAAATTGTGATTTGACCAATGCCCAAAGTTATTTTCTTATAGACTTACTTTTAGTCTTTAATCCATTGGCAATCAGATAGAATTTATACATTAGGAAGTAAATGTTTTCTAAAATGAGGGTAGGGTATCATAGGAAAAAAAATATACATATGTGTATAATTCCATATTTTTAAAATCTAGTTTACACTCAAAAAAAAAATCTAGTTTACTAGACTTTTTATGTAAAATACTATATTTTTATATCTTTTGAATAAACAGTGGTATACTTAGTAATATTTCATACTTTTCTTTAAATGTGCCTTTTATAAAAATCAGGAGTCAAATGATTAAAATTCAATTTTAAATTTTTATATTGATCTAATTTGTAATTTTTCATATTGTCAGGGGCATAAAATATTCACTTTCAAATCTTATTTAAGCAACTAAATATATTTGTTGAATATTTAAAATTGCAAGGTTGATTTTTGATTCTTTATTAAAAAATTGTGATTCTGTATCTCTGAAAATGTAAACCCCTCAGCCAGATTGCCTGGGTTTTAATTTTACTTCCTCCAATTAAAAGGATATATGATTTGGATCAAGTTAATTAACCTCCCCATATCCAGGTTTCCTTATGGGAGTCATGGAGGTGATAAAAATAATTATGTAATATTGAAAGAGTTGGCTCTGAAAATAAAGTGGCAAAATGTTAACAAAAATTACCAGAAAGAAATAACAAGGCCCATAGTTTTACTTTGGGAAATAAAAAGTAAAATAAAGATACCTATCTCTAGAATTCTTGACTTGGGACCAAAATCCAAAATGGGACCCAAAGCAAGTTGTAAAGGGTGTACACTAATCAAGATTGAAAAAAATAAATAAAACAAAATGTTATTATATTTCAATGTTAGGTGAAGATTTGGATGTAAAATTAGTTGACTTGGTCACTAATACATGATAGAAAAGTACTAATATATCAGGTCCCAAGTAGAGACTACAAAAAGAAAAGAGTATTGTATTAGAAGGCATAAATTTTAACATTATGAATTTGAGTTCACCCTAGAAAGCAGGTTATATTACATTGGGTGAACTCCACCAAATGATGATTTACCACCACCACTACCGCTTTCCCCCTGTGCCAAATTACAGTATCTCAACTCATTGAATTTTTATTTTTTATTTATTGCCCAATTAACGGAGTACCAGCCTCAATATATGATTTTGTAGTCTTCTTGGTTGTTGACATCCAGAAGGCAATCTGTGAAAGAGAGAGGATCTTACAGAGACCATCTGGTAGTGGCTCATACTACTTCTACTTCCTTTGCATCAGATAGGATTCTACCAATGGCACCCACTAAGTTGCAAGGCAGATGGGAAACACAGTTTACCTTTTTTACCCAAAAAGAAGAGAGGTTGGGTGTGGTCAAAAGCTAGCAATCTTCTATAGTTGGTGAGTTTAAAGAGCAGGAGGCATATAGATGGTGAGTAAGAATACAGATGGAAAGAAAGAGGTTTCAGAGGAGAATAATAAGTAGCAAGATACCACAGTGAGTTAAAGACAGGAGAAAAAGTAAAGAAATAGTGGTTAGCATTGTAAAAGTTATTAAGGAAGTCAGAGACTAAGTATTTGGGAAAGTTACCTAGATTCAGATTGTAGAACCCTTAACTGAAAATGGAAAGTGAAATCAGGGAATTAAGGGGAAAGTTGACTTTTGTGCATAAAAATACGGGAATGATGAAACATGGTAACTGGTCATGCCATGTAGAAGTATAGTGAATTATGTTTACTGTCATCTTTATTTTATAGATTAGCAGGAAATTTGAACTAACAAATTTTAAAGTTAACATAGAAATTGCTATGAAACAGAAAAATCTTTTTATATGTATATCTAAATTAATTTTTATTTTTATTAGTTAATACTTATTGTAGTTTTTTCTAATTATTGCTTCTCTCTTTCTTATCTAAAGTCCTCACTAGTTATTAATTAGAATTGTACTTGACATTCAGGTAGAATTTTGTACCTAAGGATCAGAAACAAACCTAGAGTTTTTAGTATATTTAAAGTATTTTACACAAGTGTAATTTTAAATATATATGTATATAATCATCAAGTTCAATTCTTTTATTCATTAGAGCAGAATTCAGGGAATTATGCTTCATGGGCCAAATTCATGCAACTTCCTTTTATATTTTTAGTTAGTAAACCCAGAACTGTCATTGCATTTTTAAATATTTTTATTTACATTTTAAAATAGGTACATTCAAAGTATCATTAGTTTTATCTCTTGCCTCACAAAACCTGAAATATAGACCATCTTAGTCCATTTTCTGTTGCTATAACTGAGTACCACAGAACAAGCACTTCTTTTACCATATGATTCTAGAGTCTGGGAACTAGTTTTCAACAAATTAATTTGGTGGAGGAGTTGGGGACAGTAAACCATAGTATTGACTACCTGTTCTTTCATGAATTTGCTGGGCTCTGCTTAAGAAATTTTATTATCTATAATAACAAGTAAGAAGTATATTGTTTTATCTATCCTATATTTTGAATTTTAAAATTTTCTGGTATTTTTATTGGTTTAAAAAGATGGCCCAATATCAGAAAAGAAAAAAAAAACATGAAATTATTGTTTGCTTCATACCTTACTGAAAAAAAAATCAAGTACTGTTCTTTGTAGATACAGAAATAGTCTTAGGGGGTTTTCTTTCTTTCTTTTTTTTTATTAGTTACACATGACAGTACAATGGTCTTGACATATCATACATTTGAATCAAATGGGGTATAATTTCTCATTACTCTGAGTGTACAGGTTGCAGAATCACAATGGTCATACAGTCACTTATACATACAGCAATACTAGTGTCTATTTTATTCTGCTGCCCTTCCCTTTCCCCCTTCCTCTCGCCTCTCCTCCCATCACTTCTCTCTACCCAATCTAATGTGACACACTTCTTTTTTTTTTAAATCATCTGATTGAATTTCACTACTATGCCCTTGTTAATATAGTTGCTCATATATTTGGAGTTGGAAAAAAAAGGAAATATTCTATTTTTGAGCTTTTTGGTATTATGGAGTTATTTGTCAGTCTTTTCCTCAGTATGCCTGGTTGTGTCACCTGGATTTCCATGTATTCCATTAAAAGTAGTCACTTTTGCTTTTGTTATGGTCTCAGATATTTGATATTCTCTCAGAGCTTCCAAGATTATTTTGTTTCTGATTTGAGTATGGAAGAAATATTCCAATCATAAAGTACATTTTCCTTTCCTGTCTTCTGTATTCTAGAACAACATCACATTGAAAGAAGATATCATTATCTGATTGGAGTAATTAAGATGCAGTATCATGTGATATAGATTAGAGTATGCAAATGATTGCACAATCAAAGAGGGTTTTTTTATTATAATCTAAAGAAAAACGTTTCATGGACACAGTCCATGTTATGTTTCTTTCTTTTTTTTTTTTCAAGACATATGCTTCCCATTTCAAATCACAGCACAGCAAAATGAAGTCAGTATAATGATTCAGTTAGTAATGTAGCCAGTGTGGGACTTGGCATCACCAGATCTCCTGATTTGCTGATTGTTTATAAAATCAGTTGAGAACATTCAGCCTTTGTTGGAAAATGCAAGTAGCCCATGATGAATTTCATGGCTTATCCATTATTACTTTTTTTAGAGGAAAAGGAATGGTTAGCCTGATGCATTCCCTTTTTCTGTCTTTAAATAATCTCTCTTATCTTTCTCTCTCTCTGATTCTCCTCATTCCTTCATCCCACTCTTTCTCAGTCGATTTCTGCCTAAAGAACACTAGCTGCAATACTTCTTCACAATAGGCTACCTTACATCAAATTTATAAGCTAAAAATAATGTCTTTGAACTAAGATATACTACCACTAAGGTATGATTGGAAATGATTTTGTATTTGCAAAGTCACCGGTTATGCCAAATTCCAAGTTCAACAGTGTGAATGTAATTATTTTATGATACAAAATATGTGCTGGACAGTTTATTCTGTATCTGTAGGAAAAGGAAATAATTGTTATCAAAAACCAAAACTCACATATTTTTATACCCTACTTCCCACTTGCAATCAATAACTTGCTAATAGAAGTTAATATTTAATTGGCTAGGTACGAAAAGAGTATGGGAAATGCCTGCGAACACATTGCTGTAGTGGCAAAAGTACAGAGAGTTCCATTGGCTCAGGGAAAACTTCTGGTTCTAGAACTCCTGGACGCTACTCTACAGGCTCACAGGTAAATGATGTTTGTCCTCTGAGATTTAATATTTCTTATGTGTAGTCTGTTATCACTGTTCTTTCCTATCCCAAGTCTTGATCACCTCAAATGTGATGTTGTTTTCATGTGATTGGCATGAAAATGAAATTGACAGAAACTAAAGGAAGCAAAATTGTAATAAAATTGAAATTCAAGGTCTAAGGTTATGTAATAAATAATTTCCTCAGATTTTTTTCTAGTTGAATGAGTGTCATAGGTGAAGAAAGGAATTTCCTATTTGATCCATAACTCAAAATATTCTCTGTGTGTGTGCATATGTGTATAGATATAATTTGTGAACTTATTATTAGTTCTCTAGCAGATAAAATAATTCTTTATCACATACTGAAATAATTTACATATAAAATTATATGTTTAAGCAAAAAAAATAAAACTATTAGAATTCCTACCATATTTATGTGCTGACAAGTTGAGGAAAACCTCAGGAGTGAAGAACTTAGGACACATCATCAAAATAACTGGTCTGTTTCCATCAGCTCAGCACTGAACATAACTACATAGAGTCCCTTATCAGGGAAATTGTAATCCCTTAGGTAAACTGTTGGCCATTTTTACCAGGCTACAATGTCATCCCAAAGATAGTTACATAGAAATTTCAGCATCTTGGATGCTAAAATGAGCCAGTTATAAAAGACAGGATTGTGTGGATATGAGCAAGTTTGAATTCAGACAATCAGACTAATCGTTTTGTGACTGCTTGTCTCAGTAGGGAAAACACCTACTGTTTTCAGTGTCATCAGTTGAACTCTGAGTAAGGCTTGATTAAGTTGATAAAGTTATAAATCTCAGATTAATTTTTCTTGACTCTTACCTCAACCTATAAATCTAATTATTTTTTAAAATGATTAGCCCTGGAACAACTCTCATAATTCAATGATAGTAAACATTGTTTCCATAAACACTTTTCTGAAATTTAATGAAGTTCTCCTTTATCTATAAATAAAGTCATGTATCTAATGTCAATATAATACACTTCCAACTAAAGTTTTAGTAACTCATATTTAACTGTCAAACATATAAGATTATTTTAAATAACTTATCAACCACAAATAATGAAAATTATTCCTAAATATAACAAATAGGTATTAAAAATCTGCCTTTGGTTTATCACTTCTATATTTTACTGAGGTTGCACAGTTGCGTATTAGGGGAATCAGATATACTCTTCAGGTGGGCAGAGTTTTCTAAGCCTAAGACTTCTTAATTTGCCAATTTGCCTAAGAATGGTGGTAACTCCAAAGGATGCTTCCAGCAAAAGCTCCTTTGTATAATCAAGGCCTTTATTTCAAACTTGTCATCCCTCTCCCCACCTCTCCTTTTTGTGATAATATTTTGACAACTTTTAAATTGAAATTACTGAGATTTTGCATATTGTCCACCTGATTAGGTTAATAGGCAAAAGCATTCATTGAACTCACTTGCTGTAGTCATTTTGTAGACAAAAGTCATTACTGAAAGAATATTTTGCAGTTTCAGTTATTAAGTTACAACAGAGTTATACAATATTTAGTAATACTTCTAGTTTAGGAGATAAAGCAGTGAATCTTAATAAAATATTGATAAACTTTACAGGTGGGTTCACCTTTGTTTGAATCCTAGCCTTCCCATGTGCCAGCTATGACAGAACAAGTTTTAATCTCATTGACTGAAAGTTTTTCATTTGTAAAGTAATGATAACAATACTAATTTCTTCAGTTAAAATGATTCAGTTAATGTATACAGAATGCTTAGATTGTAGGTGCTCAATATATGGTAGCTGCTACCATTCATTACTGCAATTACAGAATATAACATCATATATATTAATATATTTTATATATATATTTATATTCATAAACTATATACATTTTAAAATTATATCATTTACTTCTTCACCATTATAGTTTGTAACATCATAATTATATTCCTGGGGGAAAAACTCACATTATTTTCTTATACTTAGGATACTGATTCTGGCCAATATGCCAGTATAGGTCTCTATAAAATGAAAGTCACTTAGATTCTGTCATTGAGTGAGATAAAACTAATAAAATATGTTTCACATTAATTGTGATTTTCCATAAGCAAAGGCGAATGTATTCACTGATATTAAGGCAAAAATTTGGGGAGCATGGATGCTTTTTTTATATCACAGAACTTCTAAAATAAAAATCCTTATGTATTTCACATTTTTATTTAGAAATATTGAGAACTTCCTATATAATACCAGCTAGTCTTTTGGGCGGATAACCTCCCTATAATCACGAGCTTTGATTGTAGTAGTAGGAGAATTTATCAGATTGTGAAAACTGGTATAGAAGCAACATACTGTGATGGAAAGTATTCAAGGGACTACTTGGGTTTTCAAATACTGTCTTTGGATGTAATAATTATGCCAGTGCTGAATGACAATATTCTAAATGAGAGGAAGAAAGGAAGTTCAGGTGAAAGCAGTTTCAGGTGAGAAAACAGCTATTGCAAAGCCTTTAAGACAGGGGAAACTTAAAAATTCAGGAACAGAAGGAATCCTATTAGGCAAAGTAAAGACATTCTTTAAGAGAAGAATATAGTCACATTAGAGACAATTGCAGAAGTCAGAGGAAAAGGCAGGAGATAGATCCCCATAGTATTTGTAGGTGTAAATGGATTTAGATTTTGTTTGGATTGCTTCGGAAAGTCAATGGGATGATTTAGAGAAGGAAGAAACAGGATATCATGCACAGGTAATCAAGATCATGTGATAGCTATCTAGATACAAGAATGACATGATTGGCAAAACTAAGGAATTGAAAATTGTCTCCATATGTTGGTGCTCTATCCTTCCTTCCTTTCTGGTACTAATCACCTATAAATGATGATCATTTCCAAAAGAATGCAAATATAAGTGCACAGAAATAAGTACAGATTTTTTTTAAAACTGTGGACTGAAAGATTTTTTTCTTCCCTCTTTTGTATACCTCTAATTGTTCTGTCATTTATCCTTCATTTATTTTATTGACTTTTTAGGTGTATTTACTGTTACATAATATTTTTAAAAATTAATGTATTTGTGAATCATATTCAGATAATGAAGAACTGTGAACTCAACATCAAATTTAAGGAACAGAATTTTTTTTTCTTTATTTAACTTCTTCATAACTGATCTGTATTATGTCCCTACAGAAGCTTCCTAAATTTTGTTCTATAGTTTTCTTGACTTATAGAAGTAGTTTTTCCCCCTCCAAAAAATATTTTTTTAGTATTCCTTTGTTAATATTTCTGGTAAAATGATATTGTCCATATCTTTAGGGATTTCTTTCACTGAAGAAATCTTTTAATATTTGTCATTTTTTAATGAGTTTTGGTATATTTTGTTTTGTGTGTCTGTGTGTATGCGTGTGTCATCAATGACACAGTGGAAATGTGATTAGATATTCAATGGTATTTCTAAATACTTCTGAATACATTTCAAGATTTATAAAAACAACTGTATAATATTCTAAGATTAACTACTGTTATTGTTTATGAAGTTAAAACATGGAACATAACCCATTTCTGAGTTGATTTCAACCTTATTTGTAGCAATGTTTCTTACAAACTATTTCATTCTTGGAAAAACCTTCTGAAATATTTTGTTTCTTCCTCCAAATTCTTTGACCCCTAATTCAATAAGATGACAAAACAGAAAAAAAATTTCTTCAAAATTTAATATTACAATATTTTCAGAAATTATCTGACATGTAAATTTGAATTTGAGATAATAATGATGGAAATAATTAAATAATGATGGAAAAAATTTTAGTTATCTATAAAACTTCCTACTCTGAAGCATTGAATAGGGATGAATTGATACCTTTATCTCCTTCAAAAGAAAAGGCAGGATAGTATGTAATCTCTAAAATTGCATAGGTTTTCTTGTAGTAGTTATGGAAAATGTAAACTCAATAGAATTTTAATAATATTTTGTTCTTACCAGTGTCATTCTTGCCAGACTGAATTTTTAAACTAAACTTTTGTTAATAATCTGACAATGTAATACATATTTAAACATTCATATCCCAGTGAAAGTTATATTGAGCCCAATGTGGTAGCACATACCTGTAATTCCAGTGAATTGGGAGGTTGAGGCAGGAGGAAAGTTCAAGGCCTGTTTCAATTTAGCAAGGCCCTAAATAACTTAGTGAGACCCTGTCTCAAAATTAAAAAATTGAAAGAGCTGGGAATGTGGTTCAGTGGGTAAGTGCTTCTGGGTTCAGTCCCTGATTTAAAAAAAATAAAATAAAAAAAGTTGAGATGAAAATAATTTGTTCTACTTTGGAAACTAAACTTTTAAATTTTCTAATTCTGTGTACAGTATTCTATATAACCTAAAATATATGAATTGGTATAGTGCTTTACATTTATTCCTTTTTCACAGCCGGGTAGTGTCATTAATTTTATTTGTGATATTCTCATGTGACTATGCTATAAGCAGGTAGACATCATTTATTTTCTAGATGCTAGAAACAAAGGTCTCATATAACTGTGAGAGAATGATTTATGTGAAAACTCACAGCCTCATGAGTTTGTTTCTTTTCTTCCTTTTCTCCATTCAGAGCCGAATTCGTAGAATGTGGAATGATACGGTCCGAAAACAGTCAGAGTCCTCATTTATTACTGGAGATATAAACAGTTCGGCATCACTCAACAGAGGTAATTAGAAATGATTTTTTATATTTATTACTCCTCGGATTACTTTAAAAAGTTTTCAAATGCATTGCTTTATTTGCAAGTTCTAAACCTCATTCCCTTTGATAGGAATAGTGTAAAACCTGGTTGATTGTAGCAGTGTGTTCCATTATTCATATGCCTGTTTTTTAAATCCTGAATTTTCAGGAAATTTTTTTCCAAATGGAAGTTAGATAACGAGAAACTGCTTTTTCCAGTCATCTGCCACTGTTATAAACTGGTGAGCTGTCAGGCCTCATTGAAAGCAGTTGAAATGGGCAATTATGTGGTATATAGTCTGCTAAGCATCATAGAATTCCACATTGTCCCAGGTATAAAGCAATTTCATAGTCTTTGTGGAAGTAAAAATATACTGTCTAATACATACTTAAGGAAACCTGTGTACTTGTGAGGAGAAAATCACATGTAATCCTAATACCTAAAAGACTTATTCAGATAATATTGAACATTTTAAGGTCTAGAAAAGCTACTTTTATGTAAATCATGATTTTTTTATGTGTGTTTATATACTTCTGGTTAAAACGCTCTCTGGATATCAACATCATTTATATTTTTGAAATGAAGTTCTCTTGATGTACTATTTTATTTGTGGTGGGTTCTCTTTCTTTCTCTTTTTCACACTGAGTGACAGAAATATTAGAAATAATTTCACTGAAATAAGAATGGCTAGATACAACATTTGTGCAATCAGTGCTGGAAACTATTAAGAATATAGTTTTTTGGTAGAATGTGGTATTTGTATGAACTTATTATTTTTAAGGTCAACATTGTTATTTTTTCTTACCCCTAAACTAGAATTATTAATCTGTTTTTAACCTGTTTCTGCCTGCTTTTTGTTACACAAATAATGAAATAATTATTGCTTATGATTAAGAAAGATTTAGATGCCAGTACTCTTGATTTCTTTTACTCAAGTAATTTGCATCTTATTTATAGACAGACATTAGAACAAGTAGTGTACAAACTGAATTTGATATAGGGATTCACACTTTAATATATCTCATTGAGTTTCATATGCTGTTGGGTGCAAGGTTGTAGTAACTATAATCTAGTTGTGATTTTAAATTGTCTACATTAAGTTAAGTAAGAATAGTGAGAGGGAAAATTCCTTCAAATACGAGAAAAATATATTAAAACAGCTACCCTTTTTTTTCAAAACAACTATCTTCTTCTTTCCTTTGTTGGAATTTACTGGATGATATACATTTAGACAATCTCTCTCAAATTTTTTTATATAGATAATCTTCTCTTTTTGATTTAGTTTTATTCTATAGTTTGTGAAATTTATCGAAATGTGAGTACTCTATTTTTTTTTTTACTTTACTTTTCAAATCACAGTTTTCCTAGAAAGAAAATTATCCTTATCAATAGGATTTGTCATAAGGTATATTTTGAATCTGTTAATCACAGCATCCATTGAATAGTTGCTATTGTTTAAAGAAGGGATGAGATGACTGTAACAATATACTGTTTCTTTACTTATTGTGAGGATGGATATAATATGTAAAATTATTATTTTGTCCAGTATTATTACTAAAATGTATATAAAGTTAGTTAAAACCTTTTTTAAGTGGACCATTTTTATGAACTTCAAACTCAAGCACATTTTGTAATGTTGTTGATTAACTCCTTACTTCAATTTCTTCTTAATAATGTCACCTACTGGGAATATAACAATATGTGTATGACTGAGTCAATGTGAAATGAATTGAAAGAAAATAATAACACTTTGTATTGACTGATAATATGTCTAGTTCTGTAAACTAAGGTCAGTAATTTTAAAAGATAGTTCTTAAAGCTATTGAAGGCAGGATATAAAATTTCTGTGACTTTGAAGAAGTTATGTTAACGAAGACTTTGGGGAGGAGGTTAAATTGAATGCATGATTTGAAGTGTGTCCAAGCAGTGATCTTTTTCATCATGATATGTACTCTTCCTTTCACTTAGTGACTTTAATGGTGCCAGAGATCACAGTGATCTTCCTTCCCTGAATTAATTTCCTAGCCCCCCTCCAGGTCAGAAACTCCTGGTTATATTCTCATCTCAATTTTTATCTTAGTTGATTAAAGTACTTTAAAATTTTATTTCTTCATATTATGTCTCTGAAGATAGCCTTTAACCTCCTTCTTTAATCTTGTCTTATTCCCCAGGGTCCTATCTTCCCTGCATTCAGGCGTGTGTATCATATTTAGGTAGGTGGCATCCAAGATTCATCTTTCCAGATAAACACTTCAGTCACCTCAGCAACATAATTATTCACTTGTGTTTATTCAAAAGATTATATTCTCTATTATTTAAAAAAGATCTTAGATACCTCATCTTTGCATCCTCATATATTCTAACTTCCCATTCATTCTTAGTTACAGTTAGCAATTTTTTTAAAAAATAAAACTCCATTTTTGTTCTTTCTAAGTTAGAAATATAAAATCTCTCATTTTTTTCTTTAAAATAGTGCTGACTCTTGAAAATTACAGCTATTGCCTAACATTGTTTTTCTTATTTTTAATTTAGGTTTTCTTACTTATTTGTACCATTGGCCAATACATTAAAAGAGTATTATTTTAAATTTTGTATGTCTTCTCATCTGTTCTTCCAAGTAAAAATCAGCAGCTACCATCTTTAGGATCCATTAAGAGCAAAAAATCTACTATTCAATGTAGAACAACTTCTGTTTTTTTATTTTTAAACTATCCTTTATACTCTGTTCTTGAAATGCATCATTCCATCATATATATCAGATTACCTTTCTAGATTCCCAATATAATAAAAATGATTACTATTGGGGTTTTATTTATTAGAATCACGTGAAATCTTGGAGGATTTATTGATAATTTTCAATGAGTGTACTAATTCTTTTATATTCTTTTGAGAATTCATTGTTTGGTCACACTCATCTTTTTAAAACCTTCTACTCAATCTGTACTGAATATCTGTTTTTATGAGGATGTTTCCCCAACTGTTTCCTAAACCTTTTAAAATATTTTGTCTCTGCAAGTTGTTTGGTATGATGTTATACACTCAGGCAAATGCAGAATTCCTTGAAGCCAGTGCTATAACAATTAAACATCACTCACGTTACTTATGCAGTAGAAGGGACTTTGGAAGAGCTATAAGGTCATGGTTGAATACAGAGTCTCAGGGTTAATTTTAAGCTATACCAAGTTTTTACAAGCTTGTAGATGTAAAGGAGGTTTTATTCATTCATTTATTTAAGTATTTATTATTTTATACATGCCTTGAAGATTTAGTCAATATTCAACCCCCAACTCCTCCAGGGCTATTAAAAATCTAATTAAAATCTCTACTAGCTCCAACATCCTGGTAGTGGTGAGAAGGACTTATAGTACTCTTTCTACCCATCTCTCCTGATCATAATCTCTGCTACACAAACCTCATCTTAAACAGTTTAGATTCACAATGCCTCTTTTAAAAGTTGAGTTTGATCCAAAAATTAAGCTTTGCTGAGAATGGACTTTGAACCTTCAGAACTATCAACTAAATAAACTTCTTTTCTTTAAAAATTAAAAAAAAATTCTCTAGCAGTACAACAAACATCTTCATTTCTGCCTCCCTTAGATCTATATAAAAATCAGAATATCTTCTGAAATTAGATGTTATTGAACACCACAAATATTATAATGGCATTTACCATTTTCTTTTTATTTAATTATTGAGATTGAGAGCAGAAATTTTTTCCAATCAAGTTTAAGAAACTCCTGCCAATGGGGTATCTTTATGTGAGTTATCAAAAGTTACTTTAACGCTCATCCCAGTTATGAGTTACTGCAAAGTTGTGTTCCTTCTAAGTGATATAATTAGTGAAAAAGTCACTTCTTCTGGAATAAAGGTTTGCCTAGAATCATGGGGTTTTATTTCCCTCTAAACTTCCAACCTCTATTTTGTCAACCTGCCACATGAATTAATGTGATATAAATTTTTAGGAATGGAGAGTTGGACCAGTAAGACGATATTTATTTAAGTGTTATGGTTCAGAAGACTGATCTATAGATATTTAGCACTTATTTATAAATGCAGATGATTTTCTTTTAAGTGTTCAGATTTGTATTCTGCACAACATTTTCACTGAATTTGTAGTCAGTAAAATTATGATGACCTTTGATGATGCATATATTTTCATAGATTTTTTTAAAGGGTAAATTTTGGCTCTCATTTAGTTTGTATCAGAACTACCAATTGAAAGGTGACCTTATTGGCTTGGGGCATTGTTTTAACAAAGCGGGAAAACTCTGCCATCAAATATTCATTTGCAAGTAGCTGACTTACTCATTATAGTTTCACCTAGTAGTTTTATAAACAAACATTGAGTTCTAATCCAGTGACAGTTTCCAAATTGCTTAACTTCTCAGGGCTTATGCAATAGCGATATAAATGGTTCCCACTTCAGAAGGTCCTTGAGAGGAATATATAAGTTAATATATGTAAATTGTTTACAACGGCATCAAGAACATAATAAGCACTATTATTATTACTACTTTATTCAGAGAGATCATATTATTATATTTTCTAATAAATGAAAACTTTTCCTTGCCAGGGCTCTCAAATAATCAGATATTAAAATTTATCATTCACTACTAAAAGTTTCCTTTCCTTTTTATTTTCTAGCAATAGGTAGGAGGAATGAGGAGGTTACCTTAGTGCCAAGTAAAACAAATAATTCACCTAAGATGGTGCTACCCTTGAGGCTAACAAAGAAGAAAGCTAATAAAACTGAATTGTCTCTTCTCAATTAGAAATTAAATGCAAATTACATCTGCCTATTTGTACTTTCCTCTTTTGATTTGCAACCCTACTCTAGTGTCAAAGAAATAAAGATAAAATATTTCTTTTTTATTCCTTAGATGATGACTTAACAAACCCCGTCTTCTCTTTTATTTCAAACACTATCCTACCCCTCTAAAACTTAGATAACACCAGTTCAATTCAGACAGTCCTGCTAAATAACA